TGTGTTAAACTAAACAGGATAAGCTTCCTACACTTCTCAGTATCCTGTTTGGATGTAACAATAGTGAAGAGGAGAACCATGTGAACATCTAAATGATCCCCAAACTTCCAGAGGGCCAATAGATATACTCAGTGTCCATTTCTTGCTTATTCACAGTCCTTTATTTATATATCAGAAAGCATCACTCATTATTAAAAATTTCAGGGGATCATTGTAATTTGCATACCTAGGTCTATGGCTTGACATGGAGAATATTCCCTGCCCATTTGTATTTAGCATAACATTGCATCTAGACAAATACTCTATTACTAACAGTATATATTGTGGTTGTCAAGGGAAATATTTACAATGTACCTGAGTTCCTACGATAGAAAATAAGATAAAATTTGAGTGGTGGGAGGTTGGGTGTGAAATTGAAAATCAAGTATTGAGTCAGAAATACCATCACAGGGGCATCTGGGTGGCTCAGTTGGTTAAGCGTCTGCCTTCAGCTCAGGTCATGATCTCAGGGTCCGGGGATCAAGCCCCAAGTCAGACTCCATGTTCAGTGGGGAGTCTGCTTGAGAGTCTCTCTCTCTCCCTTTGCCCCTCCCACTCATGCACTCTCTCTCTCTAAACAAATTAATACAATCTTAAAAAAAAAGATATATCATCACAGAAGTATAGATATGATACCTACAGAGGAACTGAACATGCTTGGCTGAAGGTAGAGGGTAGAAAAAGAAAACCCTAGTCCTTAGAGGGCAGTAGCTGGGCCATGTAAAACATCATGAAACGATGAGGCAAGCCATTAATTTATTATCAATTATTACATTAATTTTATTAATTTTATGGAATAAAACTAAGTATATTAAAAACACTGTTCTATAAGTGATTTAAAAAATAATGGTGGGTCTCTGAGAGTTTATATAGGAGGCTGGATTCCTCATTCTGTTTAGGAAATTATATTACTCATTACTCTTGAGGAAGCCTGTAAAATTTCTCTGCTGCACTATGAGTGTGCTTAGATTGGTTCTACATTATAAATGTAATATTTAAAATGCCACAAGATATAGTATAATGCAAATGCATGGACTGACGTCTTACTTGGAAGGCCTACTATTTTCTATATTTTTAATCACATTTCCAACTTTATTATGTGTGTCATGTATGGGTATGTGGTGTGTGGGGGTGGAAGCCGTAAATGAGGGAAGAGATGGGGTTCTTAAAGGTTCAACAAAAGCAAAGTTTCCAGTGATCAGATTCCTAAGGGTTGTCATCCTTCTGGCACCTTCCCTTCCCATCCTCCAACTTCCACTGCACATACAATACCGAGGGTTTCTTATAAAACAACTTGGGACTATTAGCTGTGGCCATAAAAGCATTTTTGTCTTTTAAGGAATCAGGAATCAAATCTTTGATCTCTTGAGAGACCCTCAGGGCAGCACTTTCTCCAGGGCCATTAGTAAGCAGGGAAGTTTATCCCAATATTCAAGGTTCTTTTTAGAGTCTGAAGTATCCTTCGTTCCCTAACGTAAAAAGAGCACTAGGTAGGCTTTTGAAGACCTGGGCTCTAGTGCTGGGTTTACTGTTTATCAACTGTGAGACTTTGAAAAGGTCATTGAACTTCTCAGAATATCAGTTTCTTTTTCTGTGGAAGAGAAGCATCATTGATGGGTTGCATTCTGGGTTCACCTAGTAGGAAGAGGAAAATGGTAAACAATGGTACGTTGGTAAACATTTAACAACCAGTTCTCTGGAGGGAATGTGGCATGACTTGTAGCATTTGTTGGTGTTTATGGTGTAAATACTCATAACATGGCCAATGTCAAGCTACCAACCTGATTCCATTGACTGTGGAGCTTAAAAGTGATGTACAGTAGTGCATGATTCCTTACAGATATCTTGCAGATGGAATAGATGTAAATAACCTCAAATGCATAGATAATAGTAAAATGTAATGAAATAATTTGAAAGTATGCTTTGTTTTTCACAGGGTGTCCTTTAAAATAACCACTTGGACTTAAGCCTGTGAAAAGTTAGAGACCTCTGCCCCTACTACCTGATAAATAATAGATGCTTGCTACCCTGCTGTTTCTCCTTTTTTTTTTTTTTTACGATTTTATTTATTTGAGAGATACAGAGAGTGAGAGCGGGGGAGAGGCAGAGGGAAAGGGAGAAGCAGACTCCCCACTGAGTGGGGAGCCCAATGTGGGTCTCAATTCCAGGACCCCGGGATCATGATGTAAGCTGAAGGCAGATGCGTAACCGCTTAACCGCTTAACTGAGCAACTCAGGCACCCCTCCTGCTGTCTGTCTCATGCTGACTCATGACCTGGGACAGAGGACTGCCTTCCCCCTTCCCCACTCCCCTCATTGCATTTCCTGTCCTCCACACACCTGTTCCTGGGATTTGTTAGTAATAAATCTTGTGACTTTACTTCCTTTGTGTGAGTATATTGAAACTGTGCCTTCAATCAAAAGAACCCCAAGGTTTTCACTTGCTCGAAGTGGGAGCTCCGATGCTAAGGGAGCTACCTGCCAACCCTGCGTGGGTACCTTGTGCCTCCTCATTCATGAGGTCATACTCTGCGTGTTGTTAATTCAGTACACTGGCTTGGGCTTCCCAACACATACCTCTCTCTCTCTCTCTCTCTGCACATGTATGTACCCAGGAAAGGACATGTGAGGGTAGAGCAGGAAGGTAGCCATCTATAAGCCAAGAAGAAAGCTCTCACCAGGAACCAAATTAGCAGGCATCTTGATCTTGGACTTCCAGCCTCCAGAACTGTGAGAAATAAATTTCTGCTGGTGAAGACCCCCAGTCTGTGGTATTCTGGTCTGGCAGCCCCAGGGGACAGCCTGTGTTTCCTGGAGATTTCCTGGCCCCACCCTTCATTGCTGGTAGCCCCTCCCACACACACCCAACCCCCCACTCCCACCTGCAGCCCAGAATCACATCCTGCTCAGAATCTTCTCAAACCTGGGCACCCAGCGTGAATGGCATTTGTGGTGCTGTCCGGGGAGATCACCGGCAGCCATAGCCACAGCAGGGCCAGGGAAACATCACTCCAACCATAAGAATCGCTGTGTTTCTCCAGCTTAAAATAAATCATAAATAACTTTCCAGATAATGAAGCAGCTTTTTACAACCCTGAGGCAACTGGAGATGCTTGAGGCTAATCAGTTTGCTTAGTCTGCTAGAACCTGAGGAGCTCTTTAGAGTGACAAAACTGACTTAGGATCTCTTCCAACTGGGCAAGGGACATCATCCTATGAGTCGGTGAGGCCAACTGTGTAACCATGTAGAGATGCAAAGTAACGGTGTTTCTGAAGAGTTCTTTCCTTACCTGCCAGTTCAAGGTTTACCACTCATTATAATATATTGTTTTCTTATTTCTATAAACTTCCCTTTGCTGGGCAAAAATTCTGTGTTCTCTCATGGGTACCATTCAAGCAGTACAATTCGTCACAACCACTAATTGATCTTTACTTAAACTCACCCTAGGAAAACAGAAAGTCCTCAGAGAATATGGATATGTGCAGTGTATGTTGGTTGAATTATAAACAGGAAAAGGTTTCCGTGGGATGTATTTTTAATGAGGACACATTGTTATACTGCAAGCATGTGGCATTCTTGCTTAAGAGAAACATTTACAAGAACACATACACATTTCTAGCCAAACACCAAATGAAGTAGATACTTTAAATGACCAGTTTGCACCAGAAATAAAATATATTATACAAAACGGGGGTTATATCCACAGTCATTAATTTTCATTTTCTACACAAAACAATAAATTAAATCACATTATATGCAGATAGTTCTACTTACATTAGAATAATAAATTGTAGCTTGTGCAGCTTTTATTTTATTTTTCTACCATACTCATGGTAGATTTGTATTGTTTGGTAGTCCTATATTTAGAATAACAATGAGTAATATGGCCCAGAAGATAAGGGCTGCAGAAATATTCCTCCACGGTATCTATTCCATGTCCTCTTGGTTTCAACTATTCACCATGCATGAGGAACAAAGCTCAGATTCCCAGGACCCAGCAAAAAGAGTCTGCAAACTCACAGCATCTCCAGGCTGTTGAGGGCACCCCATTGCTGTCTTGCAAGTAAGATGCACCACTTTGAACTCTTTCAGATGTTGGCATTAAATAATAAATAGGGCATCCTGTATTGAAATCCAAATTTTCCTCTTTCTCGAACTTTCTGCCTAGTTATTGTGTGCCATCACAGCTTTGTTCCCCTAGCAAATAAAAAAATATGGTAGTCCATGTGACGATTTACACCCTTGGTGGAAGGGCCCTTTATTCCTGTGCATAAAATTTAGGTTTTTAAACATGTGAATCAAAGCAACACCATTTTTGCTAACTCTTGATTTTGCTTGTTCAAATGTCTCCCCTAAGAAACATTCCATGCCTCATACATCAAAGAGCTATTATAACACATGCATTTTTACTTCTGACACTCAGCTCCCATTGAAACCCTTTCACCATGTTTGATGTAGCTTAAAACAGGAACATTAACAGCATCAGCTGGTTTAGAATTGCTTTACCTTTGGTATGAATTAACATCAGTGGTTAATGAAAACTTTGAACAAACTCCAATCCAGCCCCTTTTGAAAGTCATTTTAATCCTAGAGTCTAGCTGTGGGGTATGCCTTCAAGAGACATTCGTGAGATCTACATGCTGAAAACCAAAGCGAGGCTTGTTGGAATATAGGCACATCACAGGCTTGTCCAGCCCCAGAGCGTGTGTGGGTTCTGATCCAAAGCCAGCTATGTTCTTATAGGCAGCACTATTTTGTATTCTTCCCCTCTGAGGAAGTACAGAGGTCCCACTCACAAGTTTCTACCTGCATGGGCAAAATGCCAACACATCTTTGGAGCTACGGTGGACGGTGCGGGGGCAGGAGGGGGTGTTGAGGGAGATGGATGATGGCGGGGGGAGTGAGTGAGAAAGGAGTGGTAAGGACAGGGGCTACTTGCAGTGCCACTCTCTTCTGTTTCTTTTGGAGGATCAAGCTCCCGATTCTTCTGGCTGGATGTGTCCCAAGCTTCTTGCGGAGTCTGGCTGTTGAAGATGGGCTAAATTATTGGGTATTCTGTAGTTCTAAAGATTAACTGAAAAAGAAACAAATCCCTCTGAACAGCACCTTCTCATCTTCTGTGCTTCCACACTGCCCCCAAAACATATTCTGTGTTTTCAGACAGTTTCAGTTTTTTCCACTAAAGAAGAAATTCAGCCCATTTTCATCTTCTCCATGAAGCACTAACCACCAGGGGCATAACTAAACAGAACCCATGAAATATAGATCAAGGGGCCTAATTTGAGATGGTGTTTGGTTTTATACTGTACCCACTCAGGATCTGGGTTCTTTGTGTCCCAAGAAACATAAGTATGCCTTCCTTTCAGTTTATAAACTTTCCCTTATACTGGTGGTATAATATTTTATTTGGCCTCCTAAAGAGACTTCCACAGATAGCCCTGTATACTCACTCACAAGAAGGTGGTGATGCCATGGGAAGCTAATTTCTGAATTGTCACTGTCTGTATGAGGTCTATACAGTAGCTTTAATTTCACCGCCAACAGCATACCTTACACTCCCAAAATCAGTAGCAACCAGAAGAAAAGTGGTAAATTAGGCACAAAGGGGGCACAGGTACCTTGAATAAGTTAAGAACCCTAGAACCTGTGAACAGGGAGAAGTGATGGGAAATTCTAAAGCAAAAGTCTGAATTTAAGGAAGAGGAGAAAAGGAGGCATTCTCTTTCCATACATTTTTCTTCTCCCTCCATTAAATATAGCTTCTGAAATGTAAAAAAAAAAAAAAATTATCTCAAAGCCTGTGAAACTATGTCTGTGGTTCAGGAAAGAACAAGCTGACAGTTCTGAGAAATGTAATGTTGTAGGGGCTTCCTCGTGGAAACTGTAGTCAGTCTGGGGGAAGATATGCACTCTATACAGAAAATTATTCCTGGATAGAAGTGATCATCTGGAGAAAGCTTTTATTTTTGAATCCAGAAAAAAAGACCTAAGGATGTGACAATGATGACCATAAAACCTACACTTATTTCCAACACCATGAGTATATACAAGAAATATGTACTCATTTTGACCTATATAAATATCAGCTTCTTTGGCCAGATGAGAAAATACTGATAAAGTTTCCCTTCTGAAATCTGAATGCCCTAGATTTCAGGGTAAAAATTTATAGAGTGATTTAAGAACTAAAGCCTATTTATTTTACTGTATGATATGTGGCTTCTGGTGGAGTATGAATGACTAGCTGTCAAAGATGCTGCTTAGCAGTAAGGAAATTAAGTCCCAAATTATAATCTCTAGAGGTCTTAACCCAGGGTACGCTTGCGCCAAACACCTACACTTGTAACAAAGTTTTCCAACTTAATGGAGTTTTGGTAACTCATATGATGACTTCAAGGAGGAAAGAAGTGAAAACAGACATGTAAATAAGCACTCAATCTTAGGAACTCCCAGAACGGTTAACTTTGGAACTGAATGGCATGTACCTATGAGAAACCTCTACTATTCCTCTACATGAAGTAGAAATAAAAGATATCTGCTTTAAAAATGTTACAGTTAATGTTACAGTTACAGCCCCTATATTACTTCCAGAAAGGTTAGAAACGTTTATGTCCAAAGACTGCAACCAGGCAGAGTGATTTCCCCCCTGTAATAAGCACATAGGTTTGAAATTTAAATTTTTTTCACAAACACAAGGTAGTATAAAATGAATATCTCTAAAAAATACATTGAAAACATCATGAAAAATAAAAATGAGAGAGAAATAAGCTTTCAATTCACAAGAAAAAGATGGATGTAAACCTTCCATTCTGTTTTCACTTTGAGGAGTCCTGAGTTGCTAAATGTTTTGCTTTCCTAGAATTTGGAAATTGGAATTTCTGGAGCTTGCCTTCTTGTCTTCTTTTGCCATCATTTTTTGAAGTCAGCACTTTTTCCTTTGCATCCACCATGGAGAACTACAACACAGTCATTTCAGTTGATCATAGCTCATTCAGTTAACATGCTCTCCAACTGCCTGAATCCCATTTTTTAAATGTAGAAGGGCAATATGCCTCACACAGAAATAATCCATTCACTGAAATAATCCATTGGCTGGTTGAAGTAGGAGGGACAGAAGCAGACTCCTCCAGGGAAACAAGTTCAGGCCAGCTGCCAAGATATGCAGCTTTTTTCCCTCTGCCGGCCTCCACTCCCGCCTGTGTGAGCTACGACCTCCATCACCACCAAGGAGTTGCTCGAACTCCCCTATTTTCCTCCCTATGCATGATCTTTTATAGTCACTAAGATAATTTTAAAAACTATTTTCCAGATGTTCAAATGTTACTGAAGAAAGCCCCTAGTGACATAATTACAACATGGTACGCTAATCTGCCAACTCCCTACTCTTCTCGCACTCTTTTCTCCATAAATTGTCAGCAAAAATGGCAACCTGAGTTTACACCTATGTGCAGAGTACTGGGTGCAAAATAGATATTCAGTAAATATTTATTTAACTTTGTTCAAATCTCTTATATCTACACCTCACCCGCTTTTACACGGGTTATTAGTGGATGACTATAAAGCTTTGTGGAGTCAACTAAAAAGGAATATAGTAGCTATCAGATTCCCTCTTTTAACCAAAATATCACTGAATCTTAGTAAAATGTCATGTATGCATTTTTAAATTTATCATTTCTGTGCTTACTGTCAAATTCTAATACTCTATATAAGTTGTTCTTAAGGAAAAAGGGCTGCCTTAAACCCTAGTTAATTCTAATTAGTTCCACTCTTTATCTTGAAACTCATCATTTGACCAGAACTGGAAGAGGTCTATTCTAAAATAACTTTGCATTTAAAGCAGGTAAATCGATGTCCTCCTGTAGCGTCTGTGATCTGAATACATTTCTAGATCTCTGTAATTAAAGTAGCAACTGGCATTTGGCTTTGGCCAAGGGGGAAAGGGAAAAAGGGAGAAAAAGAGAAGCATCTTTCATCATTGCTGGTTTGTTGTACACTTTACCCATGCTTTTAAAATATAAGTGGAATTTAATCTTCAAAATGAAAAAATAGACACATTTTCTAATAGCAAAATATAAGATTAAAATACCTAAAAATAAAATGTTAGTGTGAAATAGGGCTTTTTTTTTTTACATTAAAAAGTGAAACATTTTAGATTTGCTTTTCTTATATAAATCCTCTTATCTTATTAATAGTTACAACTTTCCAGAATAGCTTTTACGAGACACTGAAGGAGACAAGCAGGAAATCCTTTTTCGAGATACGAAGTCAGGTCCTGAATATATATACATTGGACAGAGCAGTCCTCAACTTCTAATCTGTCCACCAGCACTAGAAAAAGGAACACTGTATTTCCAAACTTGAGATTTTTCATTACATTTTCCTCTTTGGATGTTAAATTCTTTCCAAGAATATTCTACTCGTAAAAATGATCTTATTCTAGCTATAAAACATTGCATTTAAGAAAACCACATTTTTGTAGCCTTATATGAAATGCCCCCAAAAACCACCAAGATATGGAGACATCAGATTTTCAAACATAAATCTAATCATATGCCCTTGAAACAGTATGAACATTTAACAGAGTGATGTTGTATTCTCGTATTTGTTTGTAATCAGGTGAAAGGCCAGGAGGCATATGGTGATTAATAATAGTTCCTGAGCTTCTAAAGAAATTTTACAATGAAATGACTAACTGCTTAAAAGAATGAGTTCTTCAAGAGCGCCCCTTCTGTTCCATTGATGTCTTTCATCCCATCTATCTCCTTAAAGAATCTCAGGCCAAAAGAAAAGGCTTTCTTTTAAGCCACTGAAAAATGGGATCTGATGGAATCTTCCCGTAACTCTCGATGTTTTCCAACATTACTTTCTTCTTGCTGGCTTCGCCTTTCAATGGTTATTCTGTATTTCTTCCTGGGTAAAGGGAAAGTGAATGTAGTAATAAAATCTCACTTGGCTACAAAATACTATGGTTTCTCTTACAAAGAATGCCCTCAAGGGACATCTGGGTTTGGGCTGATAAATGAGAAGTGACAGAATATGAAACCCTGGTCAGAGATTAAAGCAGTGTGCCCCGAGGCGTTATGCCCTTATTCAAGGAGGAAAATTGGCATGCTTTCTGAAATGCCATAGAACAAGCCCTCCCCTTTTTCCCTGGGTGCCTTGTGGGTTAAGTCTTGTCTATTCTGCCACAGAAGCTCTCCCTAACTCCCAGGATATGCCCTAGATAAAGATCAGATTAAGTGTACTGTGACCAAAGGAACAGGAATACAATTGTTCCCACAAAAACTCACATACACCCGGGGTTACATTTCCATACAGAAATGAAGAAATCTTGGTCTAATGACTTGAGACTAAGCCACAAACTCAGTCACCAAAGATTACAGAGGAATGGACCGCTCTCATGATTTGCGACCATCAATACCTTGAACACACATAAATATTACAATTTTACAAGCTTGGGGGCTTAACCACAGTGGCAATTAAACGTGTGGATTCTCCAAGTACTGAGCACAGACCAGCTTGAGAGCGTGGACTGCTCAGAGCCACCTCCTCCTCTTCAGAAGGTGAACCCAGACACTTATTTCTGGATTGGAGGAAGCGTAAGAATAGGTAAGTTGTTTTTCCTTTGTCCAGATTCCCTCTCAACTTACACATTTGGTAGGAATTTGCATCAGAATATTTGTGATCAAAGGCGAGCAGGGCTCTGTGGCCCACAGGGGGATGCGGTAGAAAGCCCTGGCCCACTGCCCAGTGTGCTAACTCACTGACCACCAAACCAGCAGGGTCATGATGACCGTCAAAAAGAACCGCATCGTTCTTTTAACCGCCATGTTTTCGGTAAGAGCAAGATATGGACAAGTCACAAGGAGGACTATGCAAAGGTGAGTGACCAAGGCAATAGAGGAGAGTGAATTCTAAAACTTGATAAAACATCCTAACCTGAAAAAGTAGAAAGCCATTAACAAGCCAGCTCCTAGTAAGGCCCCCACAACAATTCCTGTCACTGCTGATTCTTCTAGACCACCTGCTTAAAAAAGAAACATAGATCATCAGAGTTCATTTGGAGAAACAGAAATGTCTCAAGTTTTAATCACTGGAAGGTATATCTCAATTTCCCACTTGTGGCAAATTTTCTTTTTTTTTTTTTAAGAAAGTTTTTCTAAGGGATCCTGCAGTTTTCTTTTTCTTTTTTTTTTTTTCTTTTTTTTTTTTTGCCAAGTACAAAGCTTAAGAAGCATTTAAGAAAGGGCCATAGGAGAACAATGGGAATAAAGCAGGTTCAAGAAAGATCTGAGGAACGCTGGAAACGGAGGTTTTCAGGTACATCCATCCTCTCTTGAGCTCCTAGTCAGAGAAGACAACTGGACGGACCATGGGACTGACCCAGCACATCTTATTTTCACAGACAGATGATGACACTGCAAAGTGCTAGGAGATTTGGTGAAAAATGCATTGGTCTAATGTTCTGTTTTTAGATGTTCTCTCACCAAAGCTGGAGTTTCATGTCAAAATGTCCCATATAGCTTTGTGAAAATGCGAATAACAATTTGAAACAATTGAGTTCAGTAGCGTCCCAGTTATTATATAAATATGATAAATAGCTAGTCTTTATATAAACAGTGTAGTGTCAGCCTTTAGTGCATTATCCCATTTAATCCTCAGCCCGAAGGATTGGGTACACATTTTTCATTTTACATATGGGGAAACTGAGGTTTAAAGAGATAAAGGAACATTCCTAGGATCACAAAACCACTAAGTGACAAGGGTGGGATTTCAAATCCACACCCACAACTCCAGAGACTTTTTTTAACATACGTCTGCTTTACTCCTTCCCATAATTATCGCATATACATAAATAACACCGTTTGAAGGCTGGTCCCAAAGTAAGGAGCATACATATATTAGCCTAAAGTGACTAACTGGCCTGAAAAATCGATATTCACTTGGTTCTCCCTCACTAGCTTATCTCTAAAGCAAGGATTTCCAACAATTTCCTATTTGTAGGCTCCTTATAAGAATGTCCACTTGTGGGCGCCTGGGTGGCTCAGTCGTTAAGCGGCTGCCTTCGGCTGAGGTCATGATCCCAGAGTCCTGGGATCGAGTCCCACATCGGGCTCCCTGCTCAGCGGGAAGCCTGCTTCTCCCTCTCCCACTCCCCCTGCTTGTGTTCCTGCTCTCGCTGTTTCTGTCAAATAAATAAATAAAATCTTAAAAAAAAAAAAAGAATGTCCACTTGCTTCTACATTTATGTTTGTTTGATATCCAAACAAAACACTCATAAATAGCATATTTTACACTGATTTGCCAATTTGTAAATCTGAGGGTGTTTAAGGGACATTATCTGTTTGGTTCTGAGGGATAGGAGGACACCTACAAACTCTGAAAATCAGAATGAGACTTCTACACATTTAATATGGGATCTTTTTCTTTTCCCTAAGTGGACATCTCAAATGTGAAGAGATTGTATTATGGTAAGAGGTGTAATAATAGGGAGAGGTCTTCTACCATTCTGAAAAAAAGAAGAAAGACCTAGAAACATCTGATGAAAGTGGGATGCCGGTTTGTGAACTGTTCCCATGGATTTTACCACATCAGAAAAAGGAAGGTGGACTTTCAGAATATGAGCTCCTGGATAGAATCTGTCTTTTAAACTTGCATCATGGTGATAGTGCAGACGGTGAAAAGCAGAGCAAATTAAGTCTCTAAACTTACATGATTTGCAAGGAGAGCTGTTTGCGTGTTCCACAATTCTGGTCTCATCTATTCTCAGTTTTAAAGGTCCCCAAGGATATTTGACATTTGGCCGCATTTCAAAACGACCTTCTTTTCCAAAGTAATCACCAATGACCTATGTAAAAGCAAAAAACAAATGTGCAAACTGAAAGCTCAAAGTTCTCTGTTTCCAAAGGAGGCATAGGGTGGGCACCCCATCACTCTGACTATAATGATGTCTTTTTGAGGACTTCGTAAATCAAGATTTGCAGTCACTAATGGTGCTTTTAAGGCAAGCATAATTTAGGGAGGACTGTGGCTCCTTATGGCAGGAAAGTGGTTATACAGAAAACAACAATCTCAGAATTTATGGCTTTTCCCTTGCTCATCAGAGGAGGTGCTGCTCCACACATCTGCCATCCGCCACCGCGCAGCCCATGCATTCAGCCATTTGTAAAGCCCAGATTGCTTTCAGGGATGTGGGAGAGAGTCGGGGCCCACCTCATAGCCAGATTAAACCATTACAGGTGCACGGCCTCATACTACTCAATCAGCTGGGCATATAAAGAGTCAAAAAGGGGGCACTGGGTGGCTCAGTAGGTTAAGCGTCTGCCTTCGGCTCAGGTCATGATCCCAGAGTCCTGGGATCAAGCCCTGCATCGGGCTCCCTGCTCAGCGGGGAGTCTGCTTCTCCCTTTCCCACTCCCCCTGCTTGTGTTCCCTCTCTCACTGTGTCTCTCTCTGTCAAATAAATAAATAAAAATCTTTAAAAAAAAAAAGAGAAAGTGTCTTTTAGGAACATCCTCTTTCACCCTTCTCTGGCTGGAAGATTAGTCCGTGACTTCAGGAGTTACATTCTCCTCTCTGGTGAATTTACCTATTTGCACCCCCATTTCCAGACTGAACCCTCTTTTTCAACTGACACAGTCTTCCTTGCTGACTCAGTTCAAGGTTTATCCACAGTTTCTGGTTCAAACCGATGTTTCACCAGCTACCTGAGCCCTGATCTGGAAGTACCTTCCCACCCAGGTTCTCGGGATCTGCTTCTCTTTCTGCTGGGCACCCACACATTGCTCCCTGAGCGGCCTGTGATGTCGCCCCTCTCTCTCCTGATGGAGGCCCAGCAAGCTTCCACAGTCTAGTTCTTGTCGTAGTAAAAAGACTTCTAGATAATCACCAAAATCTAATGATCACTGGCATGTGCTGAGCACTTACCAAGTACTTTACACACATCCACTCCTGAATGTTCACAGCCACCCTACAATGGATGATTACTATCCACCTTTCACAGAGGGAGAGACCAGAATGTCCACAAGACCCAGACCCACTCCAAGGGTTAAAGAGGCAGTAATGTAATGTAAATGTAGCAAGTGCCAGGTTCTGCTGGCTCTGCTCTTCCCACAAAGGACCGATACGTGTGCACTAGGAGAAAAGCAGCAAGTCCCTTATGCCAGGTCCCATCAAGTGCCATGGGAACATCAACTCTGGTGACAGCCATCAAAGAAGCACACTTGGCCACTGGAAACATAGCATTTGCCCACTGAGGGTAAACATGGAACCATTTCTTGAAATCATCCGGGATATCCTCAACCAGAAGTGAGCCCTCCCTACTCAGAAACACCAAGACTTTCAGCTCATTTTTATTTGGAGGCTGCGTTGGGGACAGCTATGTGGACATGGGGACAAATGCATTCCTTGGAATCTTAAGCAGGAGGAGCAGCCGAGGCAGGGTGTAATTTGCTCACCTCCTGGGTGCCCGCCTCGGGGTCTGTCATAGCGATCACGGAGAAATCCCCATACCGGTCTCCGTTGGCATCTATGGACACCTGCCCAGCAATACCTAGAGGATGAGATGTGAAGAACTCCAAGTTAGTGACTTACAAGACCTCCATCCGCCAACAAAAACAAGAAAGTGAATTGACAGGATTCTTTAAACAAACTCATGCCACAGGGAATCTCATCAGACTCTGAGCATTTTTGTTGGCATTTGGAAAGACATTGCAATTTCATCTGTGTCTGCATTCCTAAATTCTTAACATTTCTTCATTTAAAAATGAAAAGAAAAAGAAATAAATGACCTTCTTTGGGGAATATGTTAAAAAAAAAAAAAATTAAGGCTAATCCTGAAAGCAGCATGCTTATCCCAGAGTTTTGTATTAATTAAAAAAAAAAAAAAATCTGCAAGGAGAGAGAGGTTGGAGGTGCAGTGCGCTCCTAGACTTGTCATGAGTATGTGTTATCACTGGCCAAACATTAGAAAAGAAAACTCGTACTAAAATACATAAAATTAAAAAAAAGAAAAGAAAAGAAAAGAAAACTCATTCTAGGCCCAGGACTCAGCAAATTGCTTCGTTATGCGCTCCCGTGATGCCCAGGAAAGCTGAGGGCCTGCTTCACGGGTCATGGGGGCCAAGAGCTAAAGAGGAGCTAGTCTTTACCCCACTGTGTCCATTCCTGTTTGTTTTGTTTTGGGGTTTTCTCCCCAGCTTTACTGAGCTATAATTGACACACATCACTGTATGATTTCAAGTGTACGGCACAAAAGTCTGACCTACATATACTGTGAAACAGTGACCACGTCAAGCGTAGTTGATATCCACCATCTCACAGAGACACACTAAATCAGTCATTGTTTATCCAGATGAGTTCTGGGCCAGCACTAGGTGCTGAGTTTAATGCCACCGCCCAGGCAAAGATGAACTGGACACATTCCCCCCCTCAAGACAGGGGCAGCCCGGACTAAGGATTTCTGACTACGTGTATTTGAATCCTAGCTTTCACATTTATGAGCTCCGTGACCATGGGCAAGGACTTAGCCCTCTGGGCCTCGGTCTTCAGGACCGTAAAAGAGGGACACCAGCACCTCCCAGCCAAGAGGCTGTTGAGACGATTAACTGAGCCACGACAGGTCGAGCACTTGCACCACAGGTGTAAAAGACGTTAGCTGCCTTCTTCTGCTGTTGCTATGGCCACTGAGCCTGGAGTCTGGGAGTGGACCTCCGATCGTGCCCATGCCACTCAGAGAAGGAGTTGGCGTCTAGTTGGAGACTCAAGCAGACTCAGTAGAAGGGCAGGTCTTTTATAGGAATGTTAGTGAAGTCCATGACTGAGACAAGCAGCCATGAGGGAGTAGCACTATTCTCAGCAGAAAGGCCAGCCTTGTTAGTATTTAAAGGCATGGAAGCTGAAAGGAAGCAGAGGGACCAGGAGGTTCTGGGGGAGGTGGCCCCTGTGTGTGGAAGGAAGCAGTGAGATGTCAGACTGGAATCCGGTGGCCCTAAGCGCCCTCACGAAGGATTTGAATTTGCCTGGCTAGCAACAGTGGCTTAGACAGCTAATCAGTAAAAGCAAGTATGTATCATTAGTTGCTATTAAATATGTCTGCATTATAATTTTCATTAACTAAGTAAGAGAAGGCATATGTCAGCCACTTCCTAATTAACTAAGGCTATTTGTTTTCTTTCAGTTTAGACCGTAATAGAGTTCAGTGTAATTCTTAGTGTTTCTACTGATTTTGATTCTCTCCGGAAGTAAAATGAATGTCTGGGAAAAGCGATCCCAAGGGAAAGTTCCATCCTCTGGTGTGGTTTGGAGAGGGCAAGTATTTGGGTTTACTGTCCTTTGGGTTGTGGTTTGAAGGCCCACTGATTTCTCCAGACTTTGGTCTACTTTGCCACAAACAGAATGGAGCTACCATTCATCTTGATTTTTTTTTTTTTGTCTTTTTAATATAGACTGGTTACAAAGGATACACCTATCTCAAACTTGTTTATCCTTGACAGCCTATACATTTAAGTAAGAAATGTCATTTTTAAAAATCATATTTATCTCCAAACATATTGCCTATCCAAAACCATTTGTCATTCTGTTCAGAGGTGTTTATAAAGGTGTGTTCTGCTAAGGCTTTTGCAGAGTATTTTATAAAACATGATGGCCCTAGTAATTCAAGACCTCATTACACTTTAAGCTATTACAATTCTGCCAAGAAATGGGGTGAGAACCCTCTGGGTGGCCGATTAGCAAGTGAGACTTCACCTGAGAGTATTGTGTTTAAGGTGAGATTGTCAGGCTGACAACAGAATTTTCCTGTACATAAGTAATGAGATTCTACCCCCATTTCTATTGGCCTGTAGTGGACCTCAGGTTTGAGCCACAGTCTTATTTTCCTTGTCACTCTGACCTCTCACACAGAGAGGAAATTCAGCTTCTTCCCAGGCCATTTATTGAGAGCCTTGAGAGATGGTCATAGGTTTCACAGTAATAAAATCCAAATTTGTCAAATAACCTCCAGAGTACTTTTCCCTTGACAATTTAATGGTCACTTACAGAGTGACCATTTCTCAGAGTTCTTGGGGGGGCTACCCTCAGATTGATCACTATTTAGCAAATAAAATGGGCTTTCCAAACAATTCAAGCCCAATTGGCTTCAATTATCTTTACATTCTGACACATAAGATTCTAAGTTTAGCCTGAACTGTATAGTCAATTGTTCTAACTTATTCCATATTGCCAGTGTAGACCTAGCCCTAGAATGGAAGCATCAAGACAGGCTATGGGAAAATTTAGTCCATGCCCTCTATAAAAAACTGAATTCCAGCCCTTGTGGGCACCTGCCCTTCCCTTAACAACCTCCTTCAGAAGACCGAGAACAAATGAGCACACCATGTAGTGAGGAATAGCTAAGAACGGGATGTGGCCTGCCGAGCCTGTGTCCACACATGCCGGTTTCTCAGTGTATTGGGCACAACTTCTGGGAAATCTGACTCTGTCCTAACATGCCCGCTGAATTATTCTATTTGATTCCAGCTCCTCAACTAAAGCAGTCAGAAGTTGAGCAAGACAATCCGAGAGGCTTATTGGTTCATGTCCTCCAATCTGTCTAACGTTAAAGTAGATGGCACTCTAGTTTCGAGTAAGATGCAACATTCAATAAAGCCACCAAGGAGAAATTAAATCCAATTGTCACCAGACAGCTGGAACCTGACCCCTCAGCACTGTCCTACCATTTCTAATAAACAAGGGCAGGATGAGACCATGGAGTGCATTGAAGTCCCAAATGAAAAAACATATATATGGGCCCCAAATCCAGACTTGGAAGTACTTGTTTCCCATCACTGAAAAATCTCCTTCATTGAATTGCAAATAAATGTAGAAAGGGCTCAAGGGAAGAGTTGGCAGGGATGCAGGACTGAAAGGGCCCCCATCAGTCATCAGCTAGTCCGACCCCTTCGTACAGGTAATGAAAGAGAAGCCCAAAATACTGAGTCAGTGGCTCGGATGCAGGTCTCCTGAACCCTGGTCCAGTGATCTGTATTCCATATCAGGGGTTTTCAAATGATACCCATCAGCGTACTACACTTTATTTTCTACATAGTCCCCATAAGGACCCCTTTTAAAGACTCCAGAAAGATCACGTCCCTCCAAACCTTCTGGGGGCTTTCTCTCTCACTCAGGGTGGAACCCAAAGTCCTCCGTACACCTTCCATGTCCACATGATCCAGCCCCCACTACCTCTCTGACTGTGGCTCTGAACACTGCCCCTCGCGTGCTGTGCTCGAGCCACATGGGCCTCTTTGTTCTCAGCACTCAGCACTCTCTCAACAGGCACACTCAAGGTCTCCGTGTCTGCTTCTTTGTCTAGAATGTTCCCTCAACATCTACATAATTTCTTTCACTTCCCTCAGGTCTCTACTCACCTGCAACTTTATCAGAGACCTTCCCTGGCCACTTTCTTTAAATTAGCCATCTCCTACCACCCGCTCCTGCCACTTTCTGTCTCCCTACCCTGCTTCATTTTATAGACCCTGAAATAGTGTATTTATTTGTTTATCACCAGTGCCCCCCACAACCCTGAAACTCAGTTGATTGCAGGAAGGGTCTTTAGTTCACTGCTGAATCCTCATCACTTTGAACCATGCCTGGCACATAGTAGGTGCTCAAGACTATTTGATGAATGAACGACTGAATGAATATGAAATTGATAGCTGCAAGTCTCTCGCAACTGGGTCATTCTCATGTTCATTTTCTTTGAGTGTGTCAGTGAATTGAGAGGAAACCAGCACTTTATATGCTGTTAGCAAAAATTTAGACTAGTAGATCTTTATGGGAGATATGTGGCCATATTTAATTAACTTTAAAAAGCACTAACAGGGGCGCCTGGGTGGCTCAGTCGTTAAGCGTCTGCCTTCAGCTCAGGTCATGATCCCAGGGTCCTGGGATCGAGCCCCGCATCGGGCTCCCTGCTCCACAGGAAGCTTGCTTCTCCCTCTCCCACTCCCCCTGCTTGTGTTCCCTCTCTCGCTGTGTCTCTCTCTGTCAAATAAATAAAATCTTAAAAAAAAAAAAATTTAAAAAGCACTAACATACATTTCGACCCAGATATCCCATGACTAGAAATGTTCCCTGTTGGATGTACTCACAAATATTCATCAAGATGTATAAGATGCCTGTGAGGGCATTTTGCATGACAGCAGAAACTGTAAACAACTCAAGTATCCATCAATAGGAGACAGACTAAAGGAATCTTTATGCAGCCACATGGTCAAAAAAAATGGAACTACCATTTAAAAATGTGCTGAATCTATGAGTGCTCATATGGCAAATTTTTTTTTACTTGACATAGAAGTTTAAAAAGCTGAGATGAAGAGTGGCATTCATTATATGATTCCTTTTGTATACGTTTTTTGATAAGATATACAAAAGCATAAGGGGTGGCAGAAGGCACAAAATCTTTTTAGACCAACTCATAGGAAATTGTTAATAGTACTTACATTAGGGAGAGGGGACTAGGGTGGGAAGGAAAACTTTCACTTCTCATTTTGAACATTTTTGTACTGTTTAAATTTTCCAGCCAAGAGTAGTCTCATTCTTGTACAATTTTTCAGTGTCAACAGAGGTTGCTTGAGTGATGAGATTATGGGCCATTTTTTGCCGTGGTTCTTATACTTCCCTGTTCTTAAGAAAGCCACAGCTGATAGTCACCATCTTAAAAATAAAATAAAAGCACAGGACTTGTTTGGACTTGCTTATCATCCCAAACCATCCAGGACTGAACAGATGAATGTATGTATCTAGTACTATTTCTTTTAAAACTGATCACAGAACTTTTCACAAACTGATTATTTGTTGTGAATGAGGCTTGTGATAAATTTAATTTGAAGAAGCATAGAGTTGTTATCTAATAATCAGACGGAGACGAGGCACTTCCTCTATCAGTAGGACTCTATCAAAGCACTTTCACAAGCTTTATCTCATTTAATTTTCACAACAAGCCTGTGAGGTGGGTTGATCTTGACCTACTATCCTTACTTTACAGCTGAGAAAAACAAGAAACTGACAATGTCCCACAGGTGTGAGAGAGAAAAGCAGAACCAAGGAAGAAGCAGCTTGATCACCTACAGTGTCGTCGCCTTACAGACCGAATCCTCACCTTCAAATGTCCTGTTCCAAGTCTGCTGGATAATTTTCCCTCCATCCTTCTTGCTGTAACCAGCTCTGAGTACTTCATGTAAAGCCAGAACATAGAGGAGGATGGCATCGTGGAATCCTTCAACAAACATGTTAACCTGGAAAGGAAACTCCAGTTGGGTGAGCCCAAACACCAATGTCTCAACATTCATGAATAATGTAAGCAAATCAAAGCAGTTAACAAGTTAGACTCAAGGTCCACAAACAGTGGCCGAGATGGGCAGAAGGGTAGCTAACAAGAATCATGCCTTGGTTTTCCTGGCACTGGCTTAGTGAGGAAAACCCTCCCTCAGTTCAGGAATTTGGAGGGCAGACAAGATATTACAGAAGTCAAGGAAATTGCAGCAGTTGACGAGGTTAAGTATTCCAGGTGCATCTGCCTTTGTCCAAAGTTCCCTCTACATAGGAGCCCTCCTCCTTCTTCACGTCTACTCTCTACCTCAAGCCAGCCTAAGTCCAACCTCCCCCGTGAGGTCTTCACCATCTTTAATGGTCCCCATGATATTTCCATGCTCTGAATGTGACATCGACTGAAAGAACAGTACAGATCCATTCATTTATTTTCAGATACTATTGAAAGCCTACTCTAGGACTGGTGTTAAGGATTCAAAGAGGAGCGGGCACTGCCATTTCTACCTGCCTGGCATCTGTGTCCTCTCTTCCATCGGCAATGGCATCTCAGTTTCTCTTTCCAGTTTGTGTTCCTAGTGGTTCCTATTCATCTGACCACTCCCTACCCAACCTCTGGACCACCCCCCTCCCAAGCTCTCACAAACAGGAATGGAAATAGGACCACTGGTTTATCACAGCTGAGTCCTGGATCAAATAAGATAGTCCTTGTCCTCAAGAAACTTAAGCTTCATGTGAATTTGGGGAAGCCTCTTAATTTCTTTCAGCCTTGTTTCATTCCATAAGCACCATTGGAAAGTTCTGATACCATATTTAAACCCACTGAGCATTCATTGAACATGATATGAGCAAATACAATCTTGAAATTGAGTAGCTTACAAATTCTGCATAAAAGTACAAAAAACAAAAACAAAAATCAAAACAAGTTTTCTTATTTCAGGAGAAAGTGTCAAGAATGGAATGCCATGGAGCAGAATGAATTCGGCATCCCACGGATGACCACTGGGAGTCTTTGTGAGGAGGCATTCTATGCCTCATCCCTAGAAAAAGATCCCACAGGACGAGAGACACAACTGACCAGCATCACCTGGTTCAAATACACAAGCATTCACAGAAGACACAGCCCAGTGTCCAGTACTAGTTGGCCTCATCCCATCCTTAAGCACAGTGAGTCCTGTTCTCATCACAGAAGCAAATATTTTGGATTTGCCAAAGCCCAGTGCTGGAGGCAGTTTAGAATAACGGGCTCACTACATAGCTCTGCCACTTCTTAGATGTGTTTCTCCACAACTCCGGGCCTCAGTTTTCCCTATCCGGAAAATATTAGTACCAATGGGGTTGCTCTTAGGGTTAAATGAATTAATAGATGTGAAAGACTTCCAACAGTGCCTGACAGAGTCAGTACTCACTGTTAGGTTTTGGTGTTGTTATTGTCTACATATAGAGAATTATAAACCAAGGGATCTTGCTTAGCCTTTAATTCTTAATAGCAGTATTCAGAAAATAAGTGATCTACTTATGGTATAACATATCTTTTGGACCCATTTTACACTTAATGGAAACTAAGGCTTCTTGTTCATGCTTTAACATACCAAGCAGTTCTCTTACTTCCAGAGTGTCACACCCTTAATTCTGCGCAAGCATGAAGCATGCAGCCCACACTGGTCAATTCCACTGACCATCTAGAAGAGGAGGAGGCTGGGAAGCATGTTGGTTCACAGAAAATCTCAGTTAGCTGCTGGACCCAAAGTCTAATCCTAGCCCTGACACATTGCTTAATCTCTGTACTCTTCAATTTCCTCATTGGCTAAATGGGGGTTTAGTACCTACTGATCCCACAGAGCTCTTCTGGGGATTAAATGAATTAGTGCATATAAAACATCTTGAAACAGTTTCTGGGACCACGAGAACAAATGGTAGACATTGGCTTTTACTCTTAGTCGTCAAGCTTAAGTCTCAGAGTCATTATTTTCTTAGGCAAAGAAGAATGATACAGAAATAACATCTACTGGTCAAAGATAATTTTTCTGCTGATTTGGCTGTGCTAATTCAATTTTCCAAAGGAGTATGAAATTTTCACTTAAGCCATGAAGTCATCATGGCTTGAGAAAGTGTGCATGCTGATGAGTTAATGAGTTTTAATAAGTGAACTTAAGCTATGTAATTTCTCAGGCCACAATAAAAAATTTTTTCAAAAGATAACTCTATCTTCCCTTTGATAATTATATAAAACTCAGCCTGCTACAAAAGGAAATCATGGAAACTTGGGATATGGGAGATGTAAGATGCCTTAGAAAAGCTCTGGTCTAATCCTCTCCTTACTTTTAGAACCAAAAGAGCATCACTCCCATTCAGTCTTCCTGCACTCTCTAATGGAGGGTTGTTCCCTCTCTACTCATCGTTCCTGGAGAGCCTAGTATGCCCCCTGCTTAAACTGTAAAGCACCAGCTACTGGGTATCAGATGTCCACTTCTCTCTCTCTTCTTCCTGATTCCTTCTCAAAATCCTAACCTGGGGCCACCATGCTGCCATTGGTGATCCAAAGCACAGGACAGCCCCAACCCTCTTCTGGCCCCTCCTCTTCCTTCCTCCTTGATATGCTCTCTCGATTGCCCCCTTTACACTCTCAAATTATCCGGCTGAAAAACATGAGCTTGGATTATTCTTTTCCTATCAGGTTTGATGGTAGAAGAGAACAGATAGGTTCTGAACACATGTCCAGGTCTGAAAACTCATTCTACCTTGATTTGCAAATGGATCGCAAAATTTACCTTCTTTCCTCTCAAAGTGGCTGAGTGTTTCCCTCTCCTGCCCAAATTAGCAGGAGATTTGCTGACCTCCGCCGAGGTTCACTGGCACCCCAGCCTGCTGCGGGGGAGGTTTCATAACACCTACCTCATAGAACCTCAAGCCAGAAACAAAACCCTAGAGACCGTCTTTTCTCGAGGAGAACATTCTCACATCCACACGTGTTTTTTAAATGGGAGGAAAGCCCATTAGCACATTATAGACACTGAAAATTTCAAGTGCAAAAAAATTTTTTTTGATGAGGGAGAAAAAGATCCAAAGTACAAAGTTGCCTTTGAAATATTTTTCACTCGACCTCCAGGCTAAAAGGAACAAAGTCATCTGGTATGTCCCCCTGCCTCTGGTCATAACAAAATTTGAGCCGCAAAGTCCTGACTGACAGATCATGCTATTGTTACTAATCAAAGAAAATAGGATTCCCTCACCTGAGTATTCCAGTATTTAGCATCACTTCTAGTCAAAAGCTCTTCCTTACCGTCACTAGGCATAAGTCTTTTTTTTTTTTAAGATTTCTATTTATTTATTTGAGAGAGAGATAGCGAGAGAGCAGAGGAGGAGGGAATGAGGGAGGGGCAGAGAGAGAAGCAGGCTCCCTGTTAAGCAGGGAGCCCAACGCAGGATTCGATGCTAGGACCCTGGGATCATGACCTGAGCCGAAGGCAAACATTTAACCACCGAGCCACCAGGCACCCCATAAGTCCTAATTAAATTCCTAAACACAGCCATTCCCCTGCTAGATCCTGAGCAATATAGTTCATGAGCCCTGAGAGTTTACAATCTCAACCAAATAGGACCACAGCAACACAAATCACACAGATGGACTCTACACAAGAATGTTATGAAGTAGACCACGATGAGGGGCAAGTTTCAGGGTAATAATTACTCATGCTGTGTATCAAATAAAGCATCTATCATTTAAACAAAATGGAAGTCACGCATCATCTTCCACTCATTGTGGGAAGTTCGCCAGAACAAGGTAGCATGCTGGCACTAACACTCCCATCATTTCATCGCCATTCTCTTGATTTTGCCCTCTGTAGTTGACCAGCAGCAGGTATTCCAAATGAAAGAACGCCATTTTGCCACTGGCCTCCCTCTCTGAGAGCACTTGTCAGCCATGTCTATTAGTGTTCGTTTGTCTGTTTGTTTGTTTAATCCTCTATCATGGGGAAAGCTGAATAGAAATCTTGTTATATTTTAACTGATCATAAAGAATTACCATTCATGACATGGCTCCTATCTGTGACAGTGAGTGGAGTCTTTCTCATTTCTCTTTGGAGGGGCAAATTCATAGATGAATTCCTCAATGCCTAAGTTCCCAACAAGTAAGCAAAGTATGCTGCATGCCTCAGCTGTTCTGTAAAGTGAGAGTGAATAACACAGGAGTAATCTAGCTCCCCGGGTCGTCTGGATATCTGAGAAAGCCTTTAAAGCTCTCAGACAGAGGCTACGGGGAGAAAGTTAAATGCAAGGCTAGGCTGTCCTGGGATTTTACTTGTGGTATTCACATAACTCAAGCCTATCACACAGTGGTTCTATCTTCCTTACCACAAACCCTATGGTTCCCAGTGCAAATGAGGAAAGCTGAGGGTGTTGGGCAACATTTTTCAAGAGTCTTTCGAAAAAGACATGACCCTTAACCTCTCATTCAGTTGAAGGGAAGATGAGGGAAATGGAAATTTTTTAAAAGATTTATTTATTTTAGAGAGATAGAGCAAAAGCAAGAGGGGCAAAAGGAGAGGGAGAGAGAAACTCAAGCAGACGCCCCACTGAGCTCAGAGCCTGACAAAGGGCTCGATCTCACAACCCTGAGATCATGACCTGAGCCAAAACCAAGAGTTGGAAGCTCAACCAACTGCACCACTGATATCAGCCCCAGGAAATGGGAATTTTGATGGTGACAAGGTAAGAAAAGAGATGGGTCTAGGACATTCCCTTTCCCCATCATATCAGGAACAATGACAGCTTGTCTGATTAATAATAAGACCCTTAAATGAAACTTATCCTGACCTACCGGGCCCCTGTTGATCACGGACAGGGCAAAGAAATGACCTCAGCATGCCGCGGGGATAGGCCAAAGGTTAAAGAATATTATCCATTTGATGAACACTTTACAAGTTATCTCCATGCAATAAAAACAGAGATTTCCTTTTAATTCAGC